CAAGGCACCAGCTGAGAACCTCAGCTGGGAGCAGGGACAGGTCCCAGCTGCTCACCACAGCCAGCATGGGACACGCTGTGGGGGCAGAGCTGCCATGGCACCTGTGGGACAGTGCCACAGCACCTGTGGGACAGTGCCACAGCACCCACCCCTGCAGGCCAGCGGGGCCACAGGAGTCCTCAGGCACTGACGGATCCAGGTCCAGCATCACCCCTTCGGTCCCATAAACCCTGTGGTGACCTGGCCAAAAAGGCAGCTAAAGGAAAAGTGACCCAAAACACCAAACCAGCCCAGCTGTGCCTTTTGGGACATGGGCACCTCTGCCTTTCCCGTGGGAGCCTGGGGCATGGCACAGTCCCACTGAGGCCCAGCCCGTGTGCACTCGTGGGGAGGGGGCTCACAGAGCTGCCCCAGCCCAGCCCCAGCACACAAATTGCAGTTTGTGCTGAGCATGGCAGCAGCCGGGCGTGGACGGGTTTGGTGGCTTCAAATTAGTGCCTGGGAGCTGGAAGAAGGAAAACAAACCAGCAGAAACGTGGCAGGGCACCGGGCTGCACCCGGTGCCTGGAGGGGACAACAGCCCCATCGGCACCGGGACAGCCTGGCAGCACTGGGAGAAGGGCACAGGGAGGAGGAGGAGGGGGAGGAGGAAGAGGAGGAGGAGGGTGCCAGGCTCAGCCCTGTGCTACAGCACCAGGGAGGCGACGGCTGGCAGCCCCTGCACCCCCACATCCTCTATCCTTACATGTGCTGCTTATTCCCCAAAGCAAGCCGCGGGCATCTCCCCATCACCAGCCGGGCACCCGGGCTCCAGCTCCCCCTCCGTGCAAGCACAGGGGCTGGACGGAGGTGATGGCAGCACAGGGATGAGCCACTGGCTCCCTGCCTGCCCCTCACACAGGCACACGGACGTGCAAAGGGATAAAATCCTTCAGCACCCCTGGTCCTGATGGTCGCCACAGCTCCTGCGCTGGAGAACAAGTTTCACGGCATCCGGCCTTCGAGTTCATTATTTATGTCACACTTGAAGTCTCTGCATCTGCAAAACTTTCTGAATAATTTATGGATGGTGGATCAGGGAGGAAGAGGGACACGTTTTGCTGAAAACCAGGTCACTGAATACCAGCCAAGCAGCAAAGGGAGACAATGGAAACAGGCACAGAAACTCACTGGGGGAAAAAAGATCCAACAGCATTTATGTACAGACAGACACACACACACACACACACACAGACAGACACACACACACACACACACACAGACAGACACACACACACACACACACACAGACAGACACACACACACACACACACACAGACAGACACACACACACACACACACACAGACAGACACACACACACACACACACACAGACAGACACACACACACACACACACACAGACAGACACACACACACACACACACACAGACAGACACACACACACACACACACACAGACAGACACACACACACACACACACACAGACAGACACACACACACACACACACACAGACAGACACACACACACACACACACACAGACAGACACACACACACACACACACACAGACAGACACACACACACACACACACACAGACAGACACACACACACACACACACACAGACAGACACACACACACACACACACACAGACAGACACACACACACACACACACACAGACAGACACACACACACACACACACACAGACAGACACACACACACACACACACACAGACAGACACACACACACACACACACACAGACAGACACACACACACACACACACACAGACAGACACACACACACACACACACACAGACAGACACACACACACACACACACACAGACAGACACACACACACACACACACACAGACAGACACACACACACACACACACACAGACAGACACACACACACACACACACACAGACAGACACACACACACACACACACACAGACAGACACACACACACACACACACACAGACAGACACACACACACACACACACACAGACAGACACACACACACACACACACACAGACAGACACACACACACACACACACACACACTCCAGAGATGTCCTTGGCATCTGAGGATATTTAGCAAAACCAGCCCTTCAGCAAATGAGGATCGTTTTCAACCTTCTGAATTTATTCCTTCTTCAAAGGGAAAGAGGAAGCGCTGTGAATCATTCCTATTTCTCTCTGTACCTACACTGAGAGCAAAAGCAGGGCAGAGCAGCCCTTTCACCAAACCCTGGCAGAGACTTTGTTACGTGTCCTTACTCCGGTCTCACCATCCCTGCATGCCTGCTCCTGCCCAGCTCTGCTGAGCTCCTCTTCATCTTCCTCCCCTCCACCTCGCAGTCCGAGCGGCCCCTCACCGACACACAGAGCCACACGTTCTCCCCACGCCTGTCTTCACACAAAGAGGATGTGAAACGTTCAGCAGAAAAGGCAAGAGGAAGGAAAAGGAGAGAGGATATTGCCAAGACCTCACGTAACTCCGGCTGCAGGCTGTCACCCTGCCCAAGGGCCCCGACACCCTGGGAACCCCCACCCCACCTCAGCATGTCCTGAGCCAGGGCTCTGCTGTCCCCAGGCCTGCCCAGCTCCACAGCCACGGGTCACAACAGCTGAGGAGCAGCATGGAGACAATGACAGTGAGATAAGGCCACCGTGCCCAGCCACGTGGAGAGCCAAACCAGAATCACTTGGAAACACCACTAAATAAAAGCCATCTAAGAAAAGCAAGCACCTGGTCACAGTCAGGAATGGCCCCAGAAACCAAACTGGCTCGCGGTGGTGACATCCCAGCCCCTGCAGCAGTGCCACAGCCACCAGCAGCAAGCAGCAGAGCAGCTCCTCACCCCTGGAGCATCTCCATCCCTGCTCTGGACACTGCAGTGCTCTGTAAGAGCTCATGCAACACGTCAGACCCCGGACCTGTCACACGCTGAGGGTGACACACCGGGAAGAGCCGGCCCAGATCCCATCCAGCACCAGCGCTCACAGCGTGAAGCAGCACTGAAATCACTCCTACAGCAGGAGGATGCACAGGGGGCCGAGCATCCCAGCCAGGGAGGGGCTCCCCTTCACAGCCTCCCTGCCCCACATGCCCCAAACGCTCCCCCAGAGCACCCTGGGGACCAGCCCGTGCCACACGCGCCGGGTGGCAGCAGGGCAGGCAGAGCTGGGCACTGATTCACTCTCCAGCAGAATCATTCCTGGGGCATTCCTGCCCCTGGAACTCCCCCCCCGGCCCTGTGCAGGAATTAAGGGCTAATCCAGGAACACATTCAATAGAAGCTACAAAACAATTCAGCCATAAAAACATCCTTATCTCCAGAGGCCAGCGAGTGTTCTTCCTGCCCGGTGCGGGCAGCCTGGGGCGTGGGGGGGACGGGAGCCCACTGCCAGCCACGAGCCCACTGGGGGTCACAGCACACCCCAAATACCTGCACACAGCGTGCCCAGGGTGAGAGCACAGCCAGACACCTCAGCCAGCACCTGCTACGAGCTGACTAAGCCCAGAGACACCTCGGGACTCAGCAGCTCACTCCCAAAATGTATTTTCTGCGAAGGATAACGCTGCAGGATTTGCTCTGGGATAAAATGAATGCTACAGGCAGGGCCAGGCACTGCTGCCTTCAGCAAACGCTCCACAGCAGAACGCATCTCAGACCTGCAGAAGCATAAATGCAGCCACAGCTGTCGGGTTTGAGATTCTTTTAACCCCAAATGCCAAGAATTGGTACAATGGGAGTCCCTGTCAGCCAGATGTTACCAGCTGCTACTTCAGCATAGAGGAACTACACCCATGGGGCGGTGTGAGATCAGAAGGGCAGGGAGCAGGAATCAGCCCTTCTGGGAATGGACAGGGTGGTGGGAATGGATGGAGCATCACCTGCCCGTGCATCCTGGGGTGACCTCGCTGTCCCACAGCCCCCACAATGACCCTGGCCACGCTGGTTCATGGCAGGTGATGCTGCAGGGGCTCCGTGGCACCTGTGTTTGTGACGTGTCCCTGTCACCCCACAGCACAGAGTGGTGACCACGCGTGCTGCTGGCGTGTGGGGTACAGGCACGCCCCGGACAGGGAAGAACCCTGTGATTTGGGCCAAAGAAACCTAAAACCAGAAAAATACCCAAACGACCCCTTGAGGGAACAGCAGAAACAGAGCCACAGCTTGGGGAGCAGCCCACCCATCACAGCACCCCGAGGGCACAGCCCACCCAAGGCTGGCAGCAGGCAGCCATGCAGAGGTGTCCCCAGGCGTGGGGACAGGAGCCAGCCCAGCCTGGGAGGACAGGGACGCTGCCAGCCCCGGGTGAGGGTCTCCCTAGCCCCGGAGCCACAGCCTGCATCGCTGCATCCCCCTCCCACCCAGACCCCTCCTCACCGGTCTGCAGCTTTGCAGCCGCCTCCGCTTCCCCATGGAGATGAGAGGACAGCACTGGGGGGTGACCTGGGCAGAGCCACTCTGGGGGCTCCGGGCATCGCCCACCCTGAGCAGAGAGGGGTACAGGACAAACGGGGGGGCGAGGCACCAACCCATCACCCCAGAAAAGCGCTCCCAAAGGATGCGACCCCCGAGGGCCACGGAGCGGGACCTGGGGGACCAGAATCACACACATCCCAATGGACCATGGCCACGCACATTCCGATGGTCCGGGACCGGAGCCCAGCACATCCCGATGGATCCACACACGTTTAGACGGACTAGGGCAAGGCCCGTGCGTGCGCTGATGCTCCAGAACCAGGACCACACACGTCCCCATGGCCCACGGCCAGGCACATCCCGGTGCACCGCGCACGTCCTGCAGGACCAGGAGCAGGCACGTCCCGGTGGCCCGGCCACAGCCCGGCCCGCAGCGGGACCCGGGCGCAGCCGGTGCCGGATGGAGCAGCCCCCGGCGCGGGGCGGGCGGCGCTGGGCGGGCAGGGCCGGGGGTCGCGGGGTCCCGCAGGGCCGCCCCCAGCCCCGCACTTACTCTTAAGGGCGGCGACGAGCGACTTCCCGTCCTTGATGAGCTCCTTGATGAACTTGTTGGTCTTGTCCAGCTCGGCCTCGTGGGAGCGCAGCCGCTCCCGGAACTGCGGGCTGTCCAGGCAGCACTCGCTGAACTCCAGCGCAGGCAGCCCCATGCTGCCCGGCACGGCGGGGGAAAGCACGCAAAAATCCGGAGAAAACGCAAAACGGAAGGGCGTTTAGGGCGAGGCGCGCAGCCGCCGGTGCGGGCGTGCGGCGGGAGCGCGGGGCGGGGCCAGGGCGAGCCGATGCAGGGAGCGGGGGC